CCCACCCACCCACACACACACATATACATACTACCACAAACACAGATGCAGCCTGCCTCAGAGAGGGAACTTTGTGAATACTGGTGATGAGCTTATGTAAGGCTAGGGTGTGAATCCACAGGACACTCACTGGGGTGATCACCTGCTTTGTGAACCTTAACAAAATCATAGTAATAGATGAGGATGTGTAGATCTTGGGCTCCAGACAATTAGTCTAAATGCCTCCTGTATTAGCTCCTTCAGGCTGCCATAACAAAATACCACAAACTAGGTGGCTTATAAGAATATAAATTAATTGTCATATAGTTCTAGGGGATAGGAATCCAAAATTAAGGTGTTTTCTATGTTGATTCTTCCTGAGGGCACTAAAAAAGAATCTGTTCCATGCCTCTCTCCTAGCTTCTGGTGATGGCTAGTGATAACTTGGTGCTCCTGGACTTGGAGTTGCAGCATTATTCCAGTCTCTACCTCCATTGTCACATGGTGTTGTATGTACAGGTAGTCACTGATTTATGATGGGGTTCCATTTAGACACCTCCATCGTAAGGCAGTTCTGACATAAGTCAAATACCTCTTTTTTTTTTTTTTAGTTTTCATTATTATTGCTTTTTATTATCATTATCTTTAAAAATATGATCCTTATTTGTCTTTGGAGTTGGAAACATTATATATAAACATTACATATAAACATACATATGCACTGCAACATTGTATGTAGTACAGGTAGTCCTCAATTTATGATGGGTTCCCTTCTGGTATAAGTGTGGTTCATCATAACTTGAATACAATGGAAGTTGGGACTAACTGTATCTGTGTCTCTTCTCCAGTCATATTGGATTAGGACCTACTTTACCCCAGTATGACCTTATGTTGGTAGATAACATCTTCAAAGACCTTATTTCCAAACAAGATCACATTCTAGGTTTAGGGAGTTAGGACTTCAGCCTATCTCTTTGGGAGATGTGATTCAATTCATAAGACACCCATCCATCTCCACTTCCTGTGTGCCCATCCAAACACACATCACTCTTTCTGTACCCTGCTTTCCATGTACTTCACTGCCAATTGGAGTCAGGTGAACAGTCTTCTCCAGACCTGACTCAGAAAGAGGTTTCCATGAAGGTTTATAAAGATCTCCTCAATTATAACATTGATCTAAATTACTTCCCTCTCCCACCCCTCTCTCATCACCTTTGAGTGAAAAGGGCCAGAGGAGCAATTTTGGATCTTCTCTTGTCCAAGTGGACTCACCTTTGATATTCTAAACTTAGTTAAGTTTGAAGATGCTGTCTGGGGCTCCTCTGGGGAGAATGCTGGGGAGAACGGAAGCAGCCAGAGTAATGAACCAGTACCATGGACAGCGCTCAGATGAGTCCGTTCTCCACAGTTGGTGTCCAGACTCCTTGCCTTCCAGAGCACTGTGTCATTCGTTTACGTCTTTACTCAATGCCTGATTAGCCCAAACCCCACCTGGAAGAAGATGCCTGTTTGACTCTTGACTCTTTCAAAAACTCGATGTCAGGTCCTGGGCAAGTTCTCTCTAGTCTCCAGGCTGTTTTTCCTCTTCTCTGGGGGGTCAAAATGATCCCCATGGTCCTCTGCAGCCCTAGTGTTGTATGGATTTCAAATCAGGCAGGGCACTCAGTTCAGGTGCTGATAAGGTCTCTGATGCTTGGGGGTGGGAAGATGGGTGAGAGATGAGCGGCTGTGGTTTGCTTATACCCGGACACAGCGAACTGAGCAGACATCTCAGAATTGCTTTTTGCTTTCCGAACTGATATTCAGATTGTATTTAGTCAGATTACTTCCAGATCTCAAACACACAGAAAACCCCCCACTGCTCATTAATTTGGACCCCCACAGTTATACAAAATTTGTGACGATTTGTTTATCTTTGGAGATGCTGCTAAGAAAAGGTTTGATTGGGAAATGATTCGGGGTGGGGAGGACAGTGTTTAACCTTTCACGAAGAAAGGTGCTCCATTTAGCTTCCCTGTGGGTACAAATGGGGGTGTGTGAAAATATGTGCCACTCATATCTGTCCCCCAAAGTAGGGTGAATGCTTCCTCATTCCTCATCTGTCAACTCAGGCCAAAAGGATCTGATGCCCAGACATTTCAAGCCTGGGGACTCCTTTCTAATGTCAAAATATTTTATATGCCACCCCAGTCCCCCCTCCCTTATTATAAGTTACATTTTTTAGTATCACTGATTGAGAAGAAAAACTACTCTGAATTCCATAAGCTTTTAAATAAAACACAATAGCATGCCCGTGTGAATGAAAAGTAGAACTCTCTGAGGCACAGTGTTCATTCTGTAGATGATACTTGGGACATATAAGTCCCAGCCCTCCCCACCCCCTGAGGCCTGTGGCCTACCAGGTGGGGACACTTGGACTGGAAGTTCTCTAAGAGTGAAGGACCAGGGAATCTGGGAGACAGGGAGGAGCCTCAGGGGTCATTTCAACCACCCCCACCTTCATGATTCTTGTCCATCAGATAAGGAGCTTTTTGTTCAGGATCCCTAGTTTAGGGTATCAAGTAGGGGTTGGTGGTCTGTGTAGACACTTCACAGCTGCCACAGACTTCAGAGTCTGGATCAGATTCTACAAGCTGCTTCCCTGAAGCCCATTCCTAGAGTGTGTAAGTTTTTCACACACACACACACCCCTTATTGGGAATGATGACATGAAGGAACTTAAACTCTCTTGGTGTAAGTACCTGACATCAGACAGCAGGCAAGAGAAGGAAGGTCCAGTCTTCTGGGTGGCTTGCTTCTTGTTTGACCACAGCTTTTCAGCTCCCCCAAGGGCCACACTACACCCCTTTCTCCTGTTTCTTTGAGACAAGAGGGAGTCGGGGAAAATGTGCAAGTCTTAGTTATCTAATGCTGGCATACAGAAATACCACAAGAGGGTGGCTTTATCAAACAGAAAATTTCTCACATTTTTGGAGGCTAGAGGTACCAATTCAGGGCACCAGCTCTAGGGGAAGGCTTTCTCTCTCTGTCGGCTCTCGGGGAATGTCCTTGTTCATTGGCTCCTTGGTGATCTTCATGTGGTGTGGCATCTAACTTCCCCCAACTCTGCTTCCTTCATCCCCTCCTTTTATATCTCAAAAGAGATTGACTTAAAACACACCCTACACTACTGCCTTGTTACCATGACAAAGACAACCAACCCATTCCCAAATGGGATTATAACCACAGGTGTAAAACCCACTGCCAAAGAGTCTATTCTGCTTTACATCGACCCCCATAGGGTTTCCAAGGTTGTAAATCTTTACATAAACAGACTACTTCATCTTTCTCCCACAGAATGGCTGGTGGATTTGAATAGCTGACCTTTTGGTTAGCAGCCCAATGCCTTAACCATAATGCCACCAGAGCTCCTTAACCATTGATGTAGGGGTTATGATTTAGAGCACTTATTTTAGGGGGACATAATTGTTTTGATGGGGACACATAAAGATGAAGGAGAAGGGAATAGAGGAGGAGAGTTGCCTTGGAAGTAGTGCAGAGTAATGGTTCTTGGCTCTCAGGCGGGATATGGAGGCCTGAGGATGCCCTGAAATGATAGCCAAATTTTATGCATATGAGCCCTTTTTTTTCATCTCAGTCTGAATGTGGTAGTTCATGAGCCACAAAACTTGAAGACACCCTGGCTAGAATTTCGGCTTTTCCCTGACTCAGCCCTCCCACTCTCCAGTTACTCAGACTTGGTGAACTGTTGCCATGTTAGTCAAAGCCTGCGCATGTGAAATATCAAAAGCTCATTACTCCTCGAAGATGAGAAACTTAGTCTGCTTAGGGAGTCTGTTCTGCTGCTTTGTGTGAGAAGTCTCAGCACCAAACAGATGCCTAGGAAAATGCTCTGATTAATGACGCTGCCTCCTTTGTTCTCCTGCATAGGGCCCGGGATGGCGCTCACCGCAACAGTGCTAATTTTCTCCTCCCTCCTGCAAACCATCATCTCCCTGAACCCTGAGGACCCCAACGTATGCAGCCATTGGGAGAGGTAAGATGCAGTCTTAGATGGCCAGGCTCTTTCTGTGAGTCTCACCCTGGTTTGGTGCTGTTCGGACAAAAGTAGGGTCAGGAGATATAGTACCTATACCAGGGACCTGCAGTCCAGCTGGAGAGACAGCAAGTACATGCGTGGAGAGGCAGGACAGAACAGTACAGAATCAGTCTGAGACTCAGCTCTATGGGATTGAGTGACAGGCAACTTACGTTCTGCAATCTGGTAGTTGTCAATGTGCTGTCATGTCCCTCTTTGCATTTGCATCTCCCAGCCATTTTATAGACGAGGGAACGGAGGCCCAGAGGGGCTTGGGGGCTTGCCTACAGCCAGAGCGGGCCAGGTGGGGCACAGTGAGTGATGATATGTGGACTGCTGTCCTAGATGTCTTGGTCTATGATGCTCTGGTTTTCAGGACTGGCAACAACGTGGCAGCTTCGATGAGTGGGGCTACCAGCAGCCTGGAGGATGGGAGAGAGGTCTGCTGCTTCTGCTCTGGGGTGGGGAACTGCTATGGGAATGGAAGTGGAGGGGCCACAGCAAAATAGCGGCTGCATTCTGGCCGCAGTGCTAAGTCCTGGGGAATGGGCCAGGCCTTTGCAGACGCCTGACTTTGAAGTACAAGGTTAAAGTATTGATTTTGGTGAGTGGGGAGACAGTGACCAGAGACCCAATCAGGAAAAACCGAATTAAACCCTGGAATTGATTGGCCGTGCTGACCAGGACGACTTTGCCACTTAGATGTTAATAAATCAAATAAATAAAATTCAGTTGAGGGCCCGATGTGGGGAGCAGATGGCAGAGGAGGAAAGGAGAGTGGGGCTGCTCATGCTCAATGCCATGAGGGTGAATGTTCCATCCCTGTGGCAGGGAAAGGCATCTCGTCCAGGCAGGACTGGGCTCTGGGTTAGCCTGGAAGCCCTGTGGGGCCAGTTGGGGTTGGCTGGCGTGGCAAAGGGACAGTGCCCACACTGATATGATTGCCAGTGTCCAGATATTCTCTACCTGGCATCCTTACACATTTGAGGCTGGGGCAAGAGGTAACGCTGCTATGTGCCCCTTTTTGGTGAAGTGGGAAGCTTATGGGATTTGTGGTGAGAAGACCTTGGTTCATTCCTATCCTGGTTTTCCAGTTGCTAGCTGTGTGAACTTGAGGAAGTCTTTGAGCCTACTTCCCACCTCGATAAAGTGGGAAGGAAACTCCTATCTCATAGGTTTGCTGGAGGGTCAATGACAGTAATTCCATGAAAATGCTTTGAGGACCACAGAGCTCAGTTCTTATCTTTTACTGGTTACAACTCTGGTTTTGCAGGACCTAGTTGTCACACACATTAATGCGCATCAGATTCACCAGGGGTTGCATACAAAAAAGGATCTCCTGGATCCTATTCTCAAAGACTGTGATTCCTGGGTAGAGTCCAGGAATCTGAATTTTTCATAAGCTTTCCTCATGGTTCTGAAGTTGCTCAGGGCCCTTACCCATCCTGGTTTTGGTGACTTTAAACCTTTATTTCTCAGTGGGTCAGAAAGACATCAGGTGGAATCCCATGCCAGTTGCTTTGGTTTGCTGACTGCAACCTCAGCAAACCCCTCTTCTCTGCCAGCCTAGTTGAGGCATAGTTGCACACTGCCGTTCTCAGAGCTTTGTCCCACCCTGGAATGTCTGCTCACTTCCGTCCTCCCCATTGGCTCCAATCTAGGTCCCACTCCTGCAAGAAGCCTTCCCTGATTATAGAATTCCATTTGCACCAATGGAGCAGTTTAAGCCAAACTGAATTCGCTAATCTTCTAAACTTATCCAACATGAATAAATCTGGAATATGAAAATATTCTGAGTGGTGTCCGTATTACAGGCCAATTTGGCTATTAGCCACAATTGTAGCTTTGGTAGGAGGACAGGAGGTGAACCTAAAAGCTGAAATGATATCTGGGATCCCCCTGGGTTTCTCCAGCCCCTAGGGAGGAGGCTTGGTGGTGATGTTTGGAGACACCAGGGCACTCTTCCTTCCCTGCTCTCCCAAGAGCAGCCTTTTGAACTGAGCTCCAATCAGTGAGTCATTCCAGAACTACCCCACCTCCCACCCCCATCCCCCAGAGACCTCTTAGGGAGAATTTCCTAGCTGGATTAGTGCTTCTGTGGCTTCTTTGTTAATTATGCCCCTCTACCATAAGGCCATTATAAAGACCTCCCCTGGCTAATAAAGCCCAGCTCTACAAAATTAATCTGGCCCCTCATTAGCATGTTGGCAAATGAGCAGTGTTAAACTACCCAGCCATGAAACCAGGGCCACACACTTCAGGTCGGAGACTTGGAGCTGGGACAATGTCTGGTTGCCAGACTTGCTTATTGCAGGGCCCTCTGCAGGGCTCGATCCATCCTGCCTGATGCCCTCCCAGCTGTGCCATTTCTCTGAGCATCCACTGTCCCTGTCGTTATTGGAAGAGGAGCCTGACCCTGAATGCTTCACAAAGGTGGTGGTGGGGGGGCGTCCATTCTGTATGCAGGTCTTGCTCCCTTTCTTCCCCTCTGTGGTCAGGGAGGAAATACCCCTCACTGCCTAGCATGGGAGGTGAATGGGAAGTATCCACCATATAATGATAGGGGGTTGCCCTCCAGTCGATGCTGACTCATGATGACTCCATTTGTGTCAGAGTAAACTGTAGGGTTTTCAATGACTCTTTTTTTAGAAGTAGATTAGGACTTTCTTTCGAGGAGTCTCTGGATGACTCAAACCTCCAGTCTTTCAGTTACCAGATAAGCATGTTAACCATTGGCACTACCCAGGGACTCCGTATAATAATGATGGCCAACATCTATTAAGCACTTACTGTGTACTGAGCATTGTGTTGAGCATTTTAAATGTATTATCTTGCTTTATCCTTCCACTGCCTCTGAGAGATAGGTACTATTTAATCCTCATAATAATCACATGAAATCCCTGGTAATATTTATCACATATTTACAGGTGAGGAAAAAGAGGCTTATAAGTGCTAAATAACATGTTCAGAGACACTGCTAACAAGTTACTGGGTTCAGACTTACTCCACATGTTTGGCCTGCAGAGCCCATGCATTTTTACCCATTCACTGTCCTGCTTGTAGGTGAGGTGTCTAAGAACAACCCCTGTTGTCACTGAGTCGATTTTGGTGACTCCATGTGTGTCAGAGTAGAACTGCTCCAGAGTTTTCTTGGCTATAATCTTTATGGAAGCAGCTTGCCAGGCTTTTCTTCCGTGGCATTGCTGACTAGATTTGAACCACCAATCTTTAGGTTATTAGTCAAGTACAGACTCTTTGTGCTACCCAGGGACCCTTGAGGTGCTTGGTAGAATCATAGAATTTCAGAGTGGGAAGAGACCTTTGGGAAGCCGGGCACAGGTCTTCAGTTGCCTCGGTTTCCCAAAGACTGTAGATAAAACGGGGGTCTGAGTCATGTCTGCATAGATGTGTGCCAATTGGTGGGTGCTTACTGCTGGTGGGTGCTCAGTGCTTCAAAGGAGCAGAATTTCCTTCCATGCTGGGTCCCTGTTGTTATTTGCTGTTGAGTCAGACCCGACTCATAGCGACCCCTCCTTGGGTTTCCAAGGCAGTATCACTACGGAAATAGATTGTCCCATCTTCCTTCCGAGGAGTGGCTGGTGGGTTTGAACCTCTTGCCTTCTGGTTAGCAGTCAAGTGCCTTAGGCATTGCACCCTGGGCATTGTTAACTGCTCCCACCCTCCTCTTTTGGATTCTAGACCTTTGACTTTTAGGCATCAGAGAGGCTGCTATGGATTCACCCGGGTAGCTGGCCAACCCTGCCCCCTTCCAAGGAAACCAACAGAATTTCCTCAGGCTAAGCAGATGGGCTTTTATAGCCTCCACCAAGCCATCTGGCCCAGGCCAGTGAGCCTTCTGGGGAAAACACTGACTAACACTTACCTACATGAAAATTAATTTCTAAAATCTCAGCTGAGGTCTTCTCTCCAGTCCTCACAGGATGTGGGAGTACTCACTTTAGCATCCTGGCTCTGATGTCAGCAGCAATGGCTGGGATGCTGTTTCTTATAACCTCTGTCCAGGGTGGGCAGCTGCAATCTGGTTTTTTTTTTATAGTTTCTACTCACTGATCCAGGTTTACAGCTAACAGGAAGGATAACAAAGTACTACTTGTATCAGGACATCTGGGGGCATATCCTCCATGTATCCTCAATGACTACTATAGGCAGAATGTAGTTGAAGGCAACTGAGTGATCTCGGGGAAGTCACTTACCTCTGACTGATACTCATCTATAAAATGAGGATAGCAATTCCAGCTACCTTGTAAGATTGTGTGAGGGTTAAAAGACATGATGTCTGTAAAGCACTTAACATAGGGCACTGAATAAATATGAACAGTTATTGGTACTAGCTGTGTGACCTGGACAAGCAGCTCTCTCTCTGAGCCTTTTTCATAGAATTGCTGCAAGGATCAACCTCCATGCACGTGCTTTGAAAACCATAAAGATGTGAATGAACGTATTTTAAAACTTGGTCCCATCCTCCAAAGCCACACAGAATAATCCTAAGCCCTCCTTTATTCATTCTCTGTTAAATGAACAAATGATCTTGAATTTCAGAAATGAGCTGGGACAAAGTAAGATATGTGTCCTGGATCCAACTTAGGGTCAGGCTTGAATACTCTGACAGCATTTGGGCAAGAAGGATAATAGGGGTGGTTGTAGTACCTAAACACTTGGCTGTGAGGTCTGGCTCCCCCAGGGAGGGTCACCCCATCCTGAATATCAGCTAAGCCTCCCAAGTGCTGACCATTCTCTTGGTTCTCCCTCTGGTTCTCAGCTATGCTGTGACTGTCCAGGAATCGTATGCACACCCTTTTGACCAGATTTACTACACACGATGCACAGACATCCTCAACTGGTTCAAGTGTACCAGACACCGGTAAGTACTTCCCTCAGATGGTGGGACGTCAGGGCTGCAGGTGGCTCACCTGGAGCATATGTGTAAGTTAGAACAAGGCCCTGCTAGCAGATTTGGCTGATATGCCACCCATATCCCTTGAATGCCCATGATCCTCTGCTAAAGCCTTCTTTCTAGCCATAGGAGCTTGTGGGCAAGGCAGGGCAGAAGTGCTAGAGAGTCAATGCCCTCAGAGACATCCTTCAAATAATGACAGATGGGGAGTTGGTGGATAAATACTCCAGATTCCTCACCCTTAGAGTAAAGGGGACAAATCTAAGGTGTATTCTATACTGTATCCCAGCAGTCTCCAGTGGGGTTGAACCCCAGGGGGGTTGAACCTCAGTTGCCGGAAGCAGTAACCTTCTCAATAGTGACTCCTGTAGTGATTCCCTTCACTTTCCTGTCTAACTTCCCCACTCTCCTACCAGTGCTCCCTGGGATTTTCTCCTATTTAAACTGCTTGTTCTTGAATCCTTATCTCAGGGTCTGCTTCTGGAGGAAAATCTAAGACAGTCCTCTCTCCCTCAGAGAAGATGCAGCCCCACGACAAGGCATCTGATTTAGAGAGTGGAGTGCAGGCTAGATTTCAGCAACCTCTTGGCACCTTGGCCAGGCCACCCTGGGGCAGCACTCAAGCTGAACAATTGTACATGCTAACCCTGGGGCCTTTTCTGCAGCCCTCCTGCAAACCATTGCCACCCTTCCACTCTCAGCCACTGACTTCCTGTTCTGGGGAAATACTTCATGGAGAGAGGACAGGGAGGAAGAGAGGGTATGTTTTGCTGGCTGACCTTGGGCAAGGCACTTAATTTGGGGGTTCTCAGTGTGCTTATCAAACAGATCTTTGCCCCGCCTACCATGCAGGGGCCAATGAGGTCAAGAATGTGAAAATACCTTGAGAAGTGAAGAGGGGAAAAATACGAGGTGGTATTATTATTTGAGGGATGGGAAATGAGCAGAGGAGGGGTCGATAAGCAGACGAGGGAGAGAATACCTGGTGGGCCCATTGCCTAGTTGTTGAGCATCTGTGTTGATTTCAGACTTCTGTTTTGCTTCCTCCTTATAAACCCAGCGCTTTGTTGAGGTTTATACAAGAATCTTGTTGGGAAACATGAATGGGAGAACTTGCTCCATCCTGAAAAATCGAAGCACTGGTTGTCTTTGAAATTTTGCTACCAACTTGCTGTTAGTAGGAGAGATATAGTCGCTATAGATGTTGAGCACAGCTATAGTATCCTGGAGCCATGAAGGCTGGGTGGACCACTGAAAGTATTGCCCTTTAAAGTATCTTTAAACTGTAAAGCAGAAATATTCCCTGAAGTCTTCTTAAAACCAAAGAAAACTTAACTAGCAAAAAATCTCTGCTTCGAGTATTATGCTTTTTTTTTTTTTTAAAAGAACTATTCATATGAGATCAAATTGACAACAGCAACTCAAAAGATTAGATAGAAACCTTGTTGTTGTGTGTGTGCCTTCGAGTCAGACTTGAGTCACAGTGACCCCTCCTTGGGTTTCCGAGGCAGTATCACTACGGAAGTAGATTGTCCAGTCTTCCTTCCGAAGATAGGAACCTTAGATGGCAGTGAATTCATGTTAATGAGGCAGGAACAACTTAGAAAAGAAGAGGGTGAGAATGGTTACACAACTCAGAATATAATCAATGTTTCTAAATGGTACATGTAGAAACTGTTGAGTTAGTGTCTATTTTGCTGTGTATATTCTCAACAATAATAGTAACAATGATAATAATAAACAATAACAATAATAATAATTCTCAAAATAAATAAAATATTTGTTAAAACAGAAAAAAGCACAGCTATAGTAGCTGTTTTAAAATCTTTACCTGCTACTTCCAACATCTCGGTCATCTCAGGGCTGGTCTTCATTGATTGCCTTCTCTCTTGAATATAAGTAACATTTCCAGTTTTGTCATATGTCTAGTAATTTTGGTTTATATCTTGGACATCATGAAATGTTATAGAGGTGGGATTCTATTATAGTCTTTGAAGAATGCTGAGTTTTTGTTTTCATTTTTGTTGGTGTTGTTTGTTTTAGTAGCCAGTTAACTTGGTTGAACCCAAATTACAAACTCTGAAAATTCAATACTTTCAGCCTTAACTTGGCTGTTTGGAGTTTGCCCCCTACACACATACAATTGAAGGGCAGAAGATTGGGCAGAGATTGTACAAAGAATTTACGACTCCCTCTCTGTGACTCTTTCCTTTTTAGGAGTTCCCTCTTCACTTTCCAACTGCTGGGTCTTGTCCTGTGGTTCTTCTTAGGCTTTCTGTTTCTGTATTTCAGCCACGCACAATATTGTTCACTGGGGCCTGTCCTCAGGCTAAAGTCATCTAGTGCAGTTTCCTTCTTCCAAGTGCCCACTCCCCTCCAGTCACTGCCTGATTTTGTTCTCTCTTTGGTGCCTTGTTTTTTATCTTTTCCCCAGATTTTATAGCTGTTATTTGTGGGAAGGTTGGTCCAGTAGGAGCTCCTCAGCCATTACCACATCACCAACCTCTAGCCCTTGACTGGGAAATGAGAAGATGGGAACAAATACTTGCTTTTCATTCCCTCAATTTGGTGCTTTTACCGAATTAGCTGGTTGTGGTCCTGGTGAAATGTGGAAGCATAAATATGTCCTTATGTTGTTTGTCTCTTCTCTGGGCCCCACCAAGCCCTGTCCCTGATCTGAGCTGGCCCCAAAGTTAAGACTCTTTTGGGAACTTGGAGCCTAGGGATGCCATCCATCACCAGTGGGGTCAGTGAGTGAGCTGCTGCTTATTAAAATAGGCTGCATTCCCGGAACATGAATTATTTTGCTAAATTATTGAGTCGACTTATAGCTTTCCTGATGACCTGAAGTGTGCCTGCTGACAGCTACACCATCAGTCTGCTTCAGCATGGCATGGCTTGTTTTAACTCAGCATCCTTCTTCTGAGAGCAGTCTGAGCACCTGGCCCCCACCCTGTCCTGCTTTCTACCCCAGCACTGGGTGCAAATAAGGATGGGCAAGCCAGAAGCAACGACAGCTCTCTCCTGAGAGGCTCTAATAATGCTGAGGCCACCTCCCTGTTGGGAGGACTTGAGGGTAATCCTGTTTGGTGGAGGGAATGGACCGAATGACCTCTGAATCAACTTTGAGTCATTCTTTATCTGAGAGGCTGACACAACCCCTGAAACCACCAGGAGCTGCCTTCCTGTGCTGGGGAAGTAGCTTCACTCCGAGGCCAGCTTACCTTCCATTATGGGCTTTTGACAAAGTAGAACGACCTTAGCTTATGACGTTCCCAAATATCACAGATTTCCCCGGAGTCATACAATGTTATTTGTCATAAAGAGAGGGCTTTAAGGACAGGGAAGGCTGAACCAGCCTGTGCTATAGGTCTCCTTTCCCAAGCTGGCCTGACCCTCCACAGGAAGCAAGCTGGAGGCTTTTCCAAGGACCAGACCCTGTTGCAGTGCCCCCAAAGAGGGGCCCATAGAGCAGGCTGCCCTTGGGTGCTGATGGGGAAGTGGGAAGAACTCTGACTCCTGGTTAGACTCCATGACCTTGAACAAGTTACTCCCTCTCTCTGGTCTCTAACATGAGGTCACTGCTTCTTTCCTCCACGCTGAGTCTACACATGAGGGAGAGGCTTTATCCACCCACACCCTCTTTTGACTCCCTCCTATAGACTGAGTCAAAGCTCTGGTAGCATAGTGGCTAAGACACTTGCCTGCTAACCAGACGGCTGGTGGTTCAAACCCACCAGCCACTCCTCGGAAGGAAGGTTGGGCAATCCTACTTCCGTAGTGATACTGCCTCGGAAACCCAAGGAGGGGTCGCTATGAGTCGGGGCCGACTCCACGGCACATAACAACAACAACAACATAGACTGAGTCTTCATATTCTTTTGCTTCCAGCAAACCACCCTATTGGAATGGGCACAGAGTAGTAGGTTAAGCCTTTTGTTGTTGTGTCCCACTGAGTCTATTCTGACTCATAGTGACCCTATGTGACAGGGTAGAACTACTCCATAGGTTTCTCTAGGCTGTAATCTTTATGGGAGCAGAGAGCCAGGTCTTTTCTCCCACAGGGCAGCTGGCCAATTCAAACTGCTGACTTTTTGATTAGCAGCGAGTGCTTAGCTATTGTGCCACCAGGACTCTTTAGGTTAAGCCTGTTGTTGTTGTTATGTGCCCTTGGGTCGAACTCGACTCATAGTGACCCCTCCTTGGGTTTCCAAGGTGATATCACTGCGGAAGTAGATTGCCCAACCTTCTGAGGAGTAGCTGGTGGGTTTGAACTGCCACTCTTCTGGTTAGCAGTCAAGTGCCTTAGGCTCTACGCTACCAGAGCCCCCTACGCTACCAGAGCCCCAGGTTAAGCCTAGTGCCTTTGAAATTAGAATAACCTGGATTTGAAACCTGGCTCTTATATTCATACTGTGTGACCTCAAGCAAGTCATTAACTTTTCTGTTTTCTCATCTGTAAAACAAGGGGTGGGGGCGGGGAAGCACATCCATTGAGTCAATTCTGACTCATAGCAACTCCTACTGGGTTTCTAAGACTGTAAATCTTTATGGAAGTAGATTACCTCATCTTCTTGCTACAGAGCAGCTGGTGGGTTTGAACTGGTGACCTGGTTAGCAGCCAAATGCCTTACCCACTACTCCACCAGAGCTCCTTGAAAACAAAGGAAAGGTACAGAAAATTAAATTAAATTAAAAAGTAAGAATAAAAACACTAAGAAAATAAATCAAACAGAGAAACAAATAAAATAAAGGGAGCATAATAATGGTACCTGCCTCAATGGTTTATTGGGAGAATGAGATGAGATTTTTGTCTGTAATCTCTCTGGCACAGACCAGAACCAGGTGTGTGATTCGCAATCTGGAGCACCTTCTGCTCTCTGGACTCAGCTTCTTCCTCTGTGGAGCAAATGGGTTGGTTCAAGGCCATCCCGGGGATGGTATTCAAGGTTCTTCTCCAGAAAGTGTCTTTTGGCATGAGGGAGATTGATATGCTCTCTGAGACTGAGTCAGACTCAGGGGTCCACTTGCTGACTCTGCTTCAGTTCTCTAGGTGGCCAGGCCCTTACCCAGGGGGCCAAGAGTAGTCTGGCTTGTTTGGGTGCTAGAAGCAGGCACAGAAGCCCTCCTAGGCCCCAACTCCTGTCCTACATCACCCCATGGGTTCTTCCAACCCAGAATCCAATGTTTTGAGGAACCAAGGTGTTCTGGTTACCTAGTGCTGCTCTGACAGGAACATACTACAAATGGGATGGCTTTTACAAACAGGAGTTTATTCTTACAATTTGGAGGCTTTAAGTCTGAGTTCAGAGTGCCAGGCTCTAGGGGCTGGGTGAAAGCCCTCAACCTTGGGCTGCTTCAGCTCTGCCTCCTGCTCCTGGCCCACTGGAGCTAGAGGCTTTTCTTCACTCAGACAGCTGCTGGCTGCTGAGACTGACAAGCCCAAGATTGACAAGTAAAAAGGCACAGTCCCGTTACCAAACCACATGGCAGGCCATTAATTCAAGTCCATTGAAAGTCCCAAGGTCAGCAGCGCATGGCAGGCTGCTGAACAATGACACGGTTACATGCGGGGTTCAAGTGTGCTATAAACTAGAGACTGTTCCCCAAGGCTTCTCCTTATTTACAGGAAGCAAGCCACATCCCTAAGGCAGCTACTCAGCTGCTCACAGTACATTCCACCATGGAGCTGATTACCAGTCTCATCATGGGGAATACTACATCCAGCTGCCCAGCCACTCAACCAGGCCCAGCCAAGTTGACACACAAACTTAACTACCACACAAATAGAAGCCCATTGTTACTCTCCACAATGTCACGAAACTGTCTTCCACAGACCTTCTGTTCCTTATCCTGAAGGTGAGGTGAGAGTAGAGTGGGAGTGTTTCTAAATATCTCTCTGAGGAAAGTCAGCAGATTTAGCAAACACTATGTTGGTAATACATTCAGCATCCTGACGGCCGAAATCCCGCCATTGATTTTTCTTTATTGTGTTCCTTCATATTCGCAGGTACCATGCATTTTAAAGTAATTATTGAATGGCATCCTCAATATAGAGTAACACAAATATCATTCTAACAGGGCTGATTGATTTTCAATACTTTCAAGTGGCTTTCTCCCTTGTGCCATAGGATCAGTTATAAGACGGCATATCGGCGAGGCCTGCGGACCATGTACCGGCGGAGATCCCAGTGCTGTCCTGGCTACTATGAGAATGGAGACTTTTGCATCCGTACGTAGGGGCTGCTACTGTTCTGGCCTCAGTCAGGGAGCAGAGAGAAGAGGGTGGGAAAGTGAAGGGAAGGAGGGCTGGGTTCCATGGTCCCTGGGCAGCAGGCCTCAGCCAACCCAAGGACTCCAGAAGTCCCTGCCTGTTGCCACTCCTCAGAGGGGATAATAGGTCTGGTACAAACACGTTGGCACAGATCTGTCCATCAGAGCAATCTCGTCACAGGGTGGATGGAAACAGCTCAATTCTAGACTTTGATGGTGGGCAGGGGAGAACTGGATTCTTCTAACGTGGATGCTCTGAGCAGTGATGGGGAGAAACACTGAGTGGATGGCCGAGGACTGAGGCCATGGTAGATGCTCAACAAGGCTTTGTTGGATGGAGAGAAGGACGAATGGATAAATGGATAGAGAGTTGGATGGATGGTTGGGAGTCGGGGGAGGGAGGAAAGGAGAGTGGAGGGAGAAAGGAAGGAAGGAAGGAAAGATGGATGGATGGATGAAAGGAACATTGCATGTCAAGACCATAGTACCTAGGAGGAAGATGGCACGAGTAAGTCAGATGATAAAGGACAGCTTCCAGGAGATGGGGGACTTCCAAGAAGGATTGGGGGACTCTACAGAGAAGGTGGATACATGAAAGCCAAATGTTGCCTCTTTCCCTGTTTGTGTGCAACAACCGATAAAACTGAAGCCTCAGTGTCCCCTAAAGAGGCAAGGGCTGGGTTGCTGACAGCTTCAGGCCCTCTGGGTGGCAGGATTTTGGTTCACTGGAGACACTCAGGAGAAGGAACCTGCAGATTTGGGTTCTGGTCCTAGCTTCCCAGACACTGAACTCTCTTAGTTAATGATTATAGAGTCAGATTCTAAGGGACACTTTCCACCTCTGACCAGTGAAAGGGGGCCATACTGGGCTTTCCAGTGGGCATTGGAAGGTTTTCTTGGTCCAGGGAGTGTTAGAGAAGATGGGATCACCCCGTTTAATGAGTGAGAGGAGAATCCACCCCCGAAGCTTCTGCCTCTTCATTTGGAAAGTGATTTTCCTCGTTAGTATTCTCCCTGCCATTCAGGTGGGTAGAATGAGCTAGCACCAGAGAGAGAATTTGGGCAGAGTGGGCGTGTTGATGTTGGGAATGAAATGACAGTATTCCCCGCTGTTGTTACATCTCCCCCAATGCCAGAGAAACTCGATCCTAATTGCGTTACAGAAATGAATGAAAAATGCTCCCGCGAATGGGTTCGATAGCAATGGTTTTGCAGTACAAATAGAAAGAAATTCAGCCAAAGGCAAACCCAAAAGGCTATTCTCAGAAACAGGGTGGAGAACTGGGCTGGGGCAAGACTTTGCCAGTGTCTCATGTGGGATGGGAGTGACTATGGGAACTGGGTATAAGATCAGCATCAAAGTTTTGCTGCTGCTGCCCTGTCTTCCCAGAGTGGAGCAAGAACCAGGTTAGGGTTACTTAAAAAGCCCAAGCTGGACAGATATGAGTAGCCCTTCTGAGTTCATGGCACAGTGATGGGCTCAGAGAAATTATAAAGGGAGTTTGGACATCAGCATGGGGCTCCTGGAATGGATGAGCGTAGTCCCTTTCTAATTTCCATCACTGGACGTTACTAAGCCTCTAAGAAAATAAAGAGCAGGCAGAAATGCTAAGTGTCCTGATTGCACAGGCTCAGTCTTGCTGACGGGAATTTATAACCTTCCAGCCTACTCCTTATGTAACCGCCAGGCACTACCTGCTGAGCTGGTGACCACTGGCTGGCTTGCAGGGAAGCCACTTTCAGGACTGAAAGTGTTTCCCAGGAGGAAACAGGAGAGTTTGAGCAGCAAAAGGGCACATTGTGGCATCCTGGGTGCTGGTAGGGATGACATAGCGGGGCAAGAGTCACACAGGCCTGGGTATGAATTTCAGCTCTGCCACTTTACCTTCTTTGATGTTGTCTTCAGAGCATACACTCCATGCCAGTCATTGTTCTAATCAATTTACAGACATGAATTTACCTACTCCTAATGATAGCCCTATGAGATTGTTTTTACCTCCGACTCACAGTGACCCCACGCACAGCAGAACAAAATGCTGCCCGGTCCCCATGATGAGTGGCAGAGTGGATTGTCGTGGTCCATAGTGTTTTCATTGGCTGATTTTTAGAAGTGGATCACCAGGCCTTTCTTCCTAGTCAATCTTAGACTGGAAGCTCTGCTACTTGCTGGTTATCATTATTTCCCCCATTTCACACATGAAGAAACTGAGTCACAGAATGATCAAGTAACTTGCCCAAGATCACACAGCTAGAAAGTGGCAGAACTTGGATTTTAACCCAGGCCGTCTGGTTCCAGAGCCTGTGCTCTTAATCCCTTGGACAGGTGGCTTCTATCTTCATGAACCTATGCAAGACTTCAGCTATCTGAATCTCAGCTTCTGTTCATGAAAATATGGATAATACCTATACTACCAGGCACAGAGTAGGAGCTTAGTAATTGCTGGTTTCCTTCTTTATAGCATTGGTTCTTAGCATTTTTTTCAGTCTTGGCTTTTATTTTAATTTCTCAGTGGGGAACATGGACACTTTCTCTGGGAAAATGCATACTACATATATACGCACTCCTTACTTATCAACATGGTTAGGTTCCAAAGACCAGAAAATTGGCATTATGCACAAAATGGAGAATGACCACATCAGATCACAAAATGAAGGATAACCACATCAGATCACAAAATGAAGGATGATGATATCATTACATAACTGCCAAATTACATCATTACATAACTGCCAGATTACATCATTATATAACTGCCAAATTACATCTTATGTAGCTGCTGAATAACTGAGAATCATGGCCCAGCCAACATGACACATAACCTTACCCATCACAGCCAGTGTTAATCTTGCCTTACACCTTGGTGTTTGTTACTGCCAGACATATATTGTTAATGTGCAAAATAGTCAGATAGTAAAGTTTTTACTATTGGCATAAATGCGAAATGTTAGATAACAAGATAGTAGATATGTGAGGAGTAGTATAAACCTACACATATACACAACCCTTTGTACACAATTTCAGGGGCTCATGGACTCCTTGAGATCCCAGGCAGTTATTGACCCCATGGTAAATCATCTGTGCCATATGCTCATGTTTATCCTTTCAACATAGATTCACTATCTTCTTGGGTGGTGCAAATGATTAATGCACTTGGCTGCTAACTGAAAGGTTGGCGGTTCAAGTCCACCCAAAGCTGTCTTGGAAGAAAGCTTGGTTATCTGGTTCTGAAAAATAAGCTATTGGAAATCCAACAGGGCACAATTTTACTCTGACATACACGGGGCCACCATGGGTTAGACTAATCTTGACAGCAACTGGTTGTCAGACAAGATGGGTTTGCAGTAACAAACAACACCCAAATCCTAGTGGCTTAGAACAATAAAATTTAATTTCTTGTTTATATTACATGTTCCTCCTAACTGGGTCCTGCTCCTTTACAGCCTCACTCCAGGACCCAGATGAATGGAGCAGCAACTTGCTGGATTGTGGCAGAGAAGGAGTGCTCAGGCAGGTCTTAAAGACAGAGGGTCAGAAATATCTAGTGAACATTATAAATGCCTAGCACAAGCCCCATACAGATTCCACCAAACCAAAACCTGTTGCTGTTGAGTCAATTCTGATTCATAGCAACCCTGTAAAACAGAGTAAAACTGCCTGTGGAGTTTTAAAGGATGGACTGACACAGTGTCTACAACGATGGGCCCAGGTATAGCAAGAATTGTGAGGATGGTGCACGACCTGATGGTGATTCGTTCTGTTGTAAATAGGGTTGCTATGAGTTGGAGCCAACTTGACGGCACCTAACAATAACAGTAATCTTTACAGAAGGAGACTGCCACATCTTACTCCTGCAGAGAGGCTGGTAGGTTTGAACTGCCAATCTTTCAGTTAGGAGCCAAGCAGTTAACGACTGTGACACCAGGGCTCCTTACTGATGCCACAGTAATCATAATTCACAATTCATTCAAATATATTATTAAACACCTAATAGCATAGTACCTAAGGCATTTGACTGCTAACCAGAAGGCTGGTGGTTTA